CTTCTTTACTCAGTTCAGAATACTCTTCATCTCAAAACCTTTAGTGACTCAGATTGAGGAGCTTGTCGTGAATCCCGTAAATCTCTTACTGAATTTTGCATTTTTCTTGGAGATGCTTTAATATCTTAGAAAACCAAGAAGCAATAAACGGTTTCTTGGTCCTCCTCTGAAGCTGAATACAGGGCCCTTGCTACGCCAACTTGTGAATTGCAGTGGCTTTCTTATTTGCCTAATGATTTACAAGTTTCATCACCACCCACTGCTTTGTACTGTGACAATCTTTCATCTATCAAGATTACTGAAAATCCAGTATTTCACGAGCGCACGAAGCATATTGAAATAAATTGTCATGTAGTGAGCTCGTCTGAGAGCTAGATTTGCCTCAGTTGTTTGTCTCTTGCCTTCAGCTTTCCTCAGGTTAGCTTCCGCTATTTCAAGAGTTTGCTGAGTTTCTTGTGGATCGATGTCACTGCTCTTCTCGGCATCATTTACTAAAATAGTGATTTCATTATTGCCTATTCTAGCAAAACCACCCATTAGAGCCATCGTTAACCATTGGTCATTAAGGCGTATTCTCAAAATACCTATATCTACAGCGGTGGCAATAGGCGCGTGATTTGGTAATATGCCAATTTGCCCATTATTAGTAGATAAAATTATTTCTTTTACTTCTGAATCCCAAACAATTCGATTAGGAGTCAGTACACAAAGATTTAAGGTCATTTCTTCAATTTGCTCTCAATTTCTAATTGTGTAGCCTTCGCAATAGCTTCATCGATGTTACCTACTAAGTAAAAGGCCTGTTCAGGAAGACCATTTATAAAAGATTAATTCAGTTGATGCTAGTTTCTTCTTCCCATAAGCTTTGCTGATTGCTTTACAAAACCTCTCGCTACAACCCAGTTTCAAAATGCTATTATCAAGCTGGGTATTCAAAATTTATATACTCCAGCTTGAGGGGGAGCTCTTAGAATAGTTGTTATATTTGTTGTGTAATTTTGTGTAATTGCAGGATTATAATTTTAATTGGGCATAAGTTAATCTTTATGTATAAATACCCACAAATCTACTGTTTATAATAATTGAAGCAGTTTTTCCAAATTTCTCTTCGTACTATCTTCTTTCCCAGAGGCTTCTGATTTTCTTTTATCTTTCTTACAAAAATTGTTAATCTTCAAACTTTTCCTTAGATTATTAGTTCAATTTATGCAGTAAGTTTAATATCCGTGACATTCCCTAACCGGTATCCCATATTTTTAAAAAGATTAAATTTCTTAATATTGAGATAGAAGATTGAGACATTTTCTAATACTTCCCCATAAGGATGGCAACTGGTCAGGTTCGAAATAAGTTTCGTAAAACTAGAACACAACTCGTAATTATAACATAAAAACCTGAACCCAAAGCGGGTTTAAAAATGCAATTCTTATTTGAAAATATACAATTTATGGACTAAACCCACCCACCCCACCCGGTCTCCCCTTCTCTCTTCCCCTACCCCCTCCCCCCTCCCACCATGAGTCATATTGAAACCCAAAAGACTAAAACCTAGATGCTTTTGGGCTTTAGTTTATATATATACACATTATGAAAAAAAACCCAAAAGGTTTAGGTTTCAGAGTCGTGGAGGGGAAGATTTCTCTCATTCCATAAGGAGACTTTTGAGCAAGAGATAGATTTTTTTTCACTTGATGGGTTATATGGAGTTCTAAATTCTATCTTGATTCCTCTAATTGTACACTCTAAATAGAGCAAGAGTAGAGCAAGAGATAATGGAACTTGCATTCAATGATTTGTAAGATCACCACACAATCACAAAAGGTTAAGTGATTAATATTTTTGGGGTTATTAGTCTTTCTCCAAGTTTGTATATATGTATTAGAGCGATTTCTTCCACTACATCTTGAATTCAACAAGAGCATTACACTTGAAGACCAAGAGGATCAAAACAAGCAACGGAAGCAAGGCCCTCCTGTTCATGTCTACATTGCGTCCTATCCCATGTATGTGATTTGTTGCATAAATTATTGAAGCATGAAATCAAAATCCTAAACGACGTGCAATTCATATGATGAAGGATTTTGAAGTTGCTGCCTAC